TAGCCTACATATCACTTCTAGAGTTAAAGCAGACAATACTAGCCTAGTAGGTGGGAAAGTATGCCAGCTAATCATAACAATATCTCAGCATAGCACAGCCAAGGTCAGCGTAACAGGAGAAATAGGGAGGGAGCAATTCACACTTCAAACTAATTGGAGCATATGATTGATGACTGTAAAATGAAGGAGTGAGTTATGCATTGTTACGGGTGCTCGTGGGGTGGGAGGTTCAGTTTTTGGCTTTTTATTGTTCGTGCCAAAGCTATGTAGCCCAATAAAGGATTCTTTAAGGTAAATAAGCCTCAAAGTTCTTTGAAAAGCTACTTCTTTTCGGAACCATGTCATCAGGGTCTTCAGGAATCCGAAATGACCCGCCTGTTTTGTATCATGGCATCTTTGGAGCACTGCCTGCCTCAGGACCTCTGGGACGTACAGCCTGTCGCCTTTCCAGGCCAGCCCCTCCCACCTTGTCAAGAGGTCTGGATGGGCCCGTAACCATGGGTCGTCTTGGACTGCCGTCCGTAGCTCCTGGACCAGACCACTCGCCACGGTATGAGGAACCACCCGGGCTGCGGCCTGTTGGTAGGGGGGCATGATTGCTTGTACCACCGCCTCCCGCTTACTATTGTACTGGGGCATGCACGACAAAGCATAGGCCAGGAAGTTCTTCCCCCCTGGTACATACTTCAGCTGGAAGCGGAAGCGGTGGAAGTACTGTGCCCACCAGACATGTTTCGGAGACAGGCGCCTCAGTGTTTGCAGTACCTCCAGGTTCTTGTGGTCCACGGCCTTGCGGGAGCCGTCCTGGACCGTCAGCTGATCGGCAGCCGACCGAGCAGACCTCCCGGCTGTTTGGCGGTGCCGCAGCCTTGCGGGAGCCGTCCTGGGCCGTCAGCTGATCGGCAGTGTTTCTGGCAGCCGGCTGCTTGCTTCAGGCGGCCGGCTGCTTGCTTCGGGTGGCTGGCTGCTTGGGTTCCCCCCCTCCTGTGTATGTCGAGCCCATGGGGCTTGACATTAAGCTTTTGATAAACAAATGTGGATATTGGATATGGAGATATTCAGCGAGAGAGGAACTGTCGAGAGAACTGTTCTGGAGAGTCTGCATGGCCTCGGATTGCTTCAGTGGAAGGAGTCAACAGCGGAGGTGCTGGCCGTTCACACAGGGTGAGAGATCAGCTGCAATGTCTGGAGGGGCACGGAGGAAGAAAGGGAATTACTGGAGGTGGAGTCAGCATCGTGCTCAGCATTTTGGGCAGCGAAAGCAGCGTTTCAGGCGGCAGAGGCAGAGTGAGGTGGCAGCCATTGCAGCTGGGAAGTTTCCCTCCAGTGCTGACCATCTTCGGAAGAAGAGGAGGTGGTGTGACCGAAAGAAGAAACGTGGCAAACACAGAGGTCTAACATCTAGGCTAAAAGCTAAACCATACAGAGTGTCACTTCCATCTATTTTGTTTGCAAATGCTCGCTCCTTAGAGCCAAAAATGGATTACTTGAGGCTAGATTTAACAACAAACTGGGAGGTGAGAAACTGCTGTGTCATCATTGCAACAGAAACTTGGTTAAAGCCCTCTGTCCCAGATAGTGCTGTTAGGTTGATGGGATTTTCAACATTTCAGCTGGACCAGAGTTTTGCTCTTAGTGGCAAATCCTGGGGTGGGGGGGTGTCTGTTTTTATATAAATGACAGATGGTGTAATAATGCCAAGGTGGTTTCAAGTCTGTGCTCCCCTGATGTGGAGCTTTTGACCATCAAATGCAGGCCCTTCTATCTACCTAGAGAATTTTCTGTTATCATTATCACAGCTGTATATATTCCTCCTGATGCAAACAGAGAAGAGGCCCTGAATGTTCTCTATCATACCATCAGTGACTTACAAACTAGTTACTCAGAGGGTGCATTTATTGTAGTGGGAGACTTTATTCAAGTTGATTTGAAAGCTACTCTTCCCCATTTCCATCAATATGTAGACTTTGCAACCAGAGGGGAAAATACACTGGATCTTGCTTATTGTAACATCAAGAATGCATTCAAAGCTATCCCCCGCCCTCACCTGGCCCCCTCTGACCATCTCTCAGTGATGCTTATTCCAGCATATAAACCTTTATTACTCAGAGTGAAA